TGGCCTTGATCAGCTGCCTCCTGCACACTCCCCACCACATCATCATCATCATCATCACCACCACCACCACTATCATCATCATCACCATATCATCATCACCATCATAAGGCAAAGGCAAAACCTAGATTAGAATCCAGTCCTGCCACCCATTCCTGAGTGGGAAAGAGAGTTATCATCATCCTCACCACCACCACCACCACCACCACCACATCATCATCATCATCATCATCATCATCATCACCTCCATCATCATCATCATCATCACCGTCATCATTATCATCATTCTCACCATCATCACCACCATCATCATCATCATTATCATCCTCACCACCACCATCATCATCGTCATCACTACCACCACCACCATCATCCTTTTTAATGTGCTAGAACATATGTTCATTTCATCTTCACAACTACTTGAGACGTAGTTACTACTACCATTCCTACTTCATTTATGAGAAAACTGAATTTTAAAGATGCTAAGTATATGTTTTTCAAAATTGCACTACTGCTAAATGCCAGCCTAAGTTTGAACCAGGTGGCCTGCCTGCGGAGCTGCATGCTTAACTGTTATACCTCACAGCATTCCAGCTGAAGCCATTCTGAACAACCATCTGCACTTCACTGTTCCCTTCTCTGGATATTCAAAAATACATTTGTGCACAGAGAAGGTGTTTGGTTTTCTATTTGTTCATTTGTTTGCTTGCTTGCTTAGTTGTGTATGTGTGTTTCTTAGTATAGAAACAGAATGAAATCATAAATAAGTTGTTGAAGCAATAGTTAATGGCACTGTGATATCTGTTGTTCTCTACTGTCTATACCTAGTTCAGACATATAGTTACTTAAACCTCTTGCTTCTACTTAAAGTTTTATTCACTGACATGACAACACACATGGATGCTGTTATGTGCCAGGGCCCAAACCTAGGCACTAGAAAACTGACATTGTTTGTCTGGGAGTATGCTATGTGCCAAGTGAGGAATATACTACTGAAACACCTGATCTACCATCTATCTTAGGAAGAAGAGTTATACTAATAGCTATGGTCCTACTATAATAATTAGACCTGGGGGCTTTTGAGTGGCTTCTAGAACAAGGCTGCCTCTTAGGGTTCAAGTGCTCACCTGTGGAACATTTGGACAGCATGGGCACTGCCCAGCAGCTGGCGCTGCTCCTCTGCAAGCCTCTGCAAGGAGCCCCAGCGGGTGTTCAGCTCCTAGAAGAGGTGGACATGTCAGACCTGAGCCAGGAAACTGACTCAGACAGCTCCATGGTGTGTGAACACTAAACAGGGTTTAAATCATGTTTGTTTTCATGTTATCGCCTTCGAAAATTGGATAGGTTCATGTCTTTGTTGGATATTTCTAGTTCGGGCCTGATTTCTGCCCGTGCAGTTAAGAAGGAGATCACTTTCCCTCCCAAACTGATGTTTCAGGGCGAAGCCATCCACCCTGGAGTAGCAATCGGTGTTTGCTGCCACAGAGACTATGTGGCATCCTCTGAAAAATGAGTGGAAAGCATTGCCTTAGTGATTAGAAGCTATTGCATTTCTCTAGGAGAAATATATGCCTTTCTTCATCCTGCATTCATGAAACAAAGTAGCCTCTTAGAGTCCTACTTTCTGTAGATGGCAAGTAGATTGTTCCTGTGAACATTCCTTTTCCCTTTATTCCATATCCACCGCCACAAAAAGCAGAAGAGCACTCATCCTCATTCGTTTATTACAACCCAGAGAGCTGGACGAGACATTCTATTCATGTTCATTAGACATTTTATGAAACCATAGGTCCAAATTTGAATCAGCTCTGGAATGCACCCTTCCCCATTCTCTACTGACCTATATTCTTTTCCTTTTTTCATCAGATTTTATTAGGACCTATCTCTTCCAATATATCTTTCTTGATATATCCCTTCCATATCATAGCTCCTTTATCTGCATTTTCATTGTATTCATATTCAATCACTGAATTTCTGCCTGTGATGATAGGGGAAAGGTGAGTATGTGTGGCAATGTGTGGACTTCAGATCAGTTCAAATGGCTGAACAAATTGGTCTATTGTCTTTAACCTTTTCGGTGGCCAGCTCCATGCTGCCGTGACCTTCTGCATGTCCGAGCTGAACTGTGGAATTGGAAGTTGAGTATGTTTAAGGAATGAGGACTCCCCAAGCTCAGCCTGGTCGAGAGGAGAAATGGACGGAGCCTTAGTTACCTGCCGAATATGAGTTCCTTCCGGTGTTAGAAGCCCTTCAAAAAGCAGATCGTCAGCTACCTTGTTGATGTCCCTCAGTCGAGGCTCATTGGTCTTCAAATCCTAGATGGGAAAATGTATGCAAAGCAGTGTAGATGGCTTCTGATGAACCTTTCATACGTGCCGGCTCATCTCTGCCCTGACAAGGCTAAACATTAAAACATATTGCTAACCTTACACTCAATACAAAACAAGCTTCCCTCCTCCAAATTGGCACTTAGTAGAGTACCTTTAAACTCCCTGACATCCCATGACGATCAGAAACTTGGTAAGAGAGTTGCTATTTACCTGAAGTATGAGCACATCCATTTTCCTAGATTTCTCTTTATTTTTCATTTTCCAATATAATTGTTTAATTGCCTGTTCTTATTATTTAACAGCTTTTATTTTTCCCCTCAATTTTTTAGATATTTACATACAGGCTTATTGGCCCTTTACAAGATATCTTGAAAATATTTTCTTCAGTTTGTTGATTGTATTCTGATTTGGTTTATGGTGGTAGTTGCTATGCTAAAGTTTGTCAATCTTTCCTTTTAGTGCACTCAGTGAACCTGAATTTTGAGTCATAGTTAGAAAGTCTTTCCTTACAAGGTATTAAAACATAATATAGAAATTCTGTAATTAAAACAGTGTGGTGTTAATGAATGAACATACAGGCTACCATAGTTTATCAAATCTATCATAGAAAAAAACAAATAATTTACAGTAATAATTTCAAATACATATGGAACTTTGCTATATGATAAAGGTAGTAACTCAAATCACTAGGTAAAAATGGACATTTCAGTAAATGATGCTGCAAAACTTGGTTAACCATTTGGGGAAAAGATAAGATGTAGCTATCCCTTACAGGCTTAACACCATATTCGATAATAAACTCCAAATGAATGATGAGTTCCAAACAGTGAAATGTTGTTACAAACAGGATCTAAATCTAAACTGAATCCATATAAGTATTAAGAGAAAACTGGGTGAATTTCCTTTTTCTACCTTTCTTACAAATCTCTCCCTGGGTTAAATAGCACTGTCAAGGGGACCAATACCTGGCCATGTACTATTCTTTTCTGCTAACACAAACTCCTCCATCTTCTATAGAATTTCATGAACTGAGTTGCAATCTGCTTCTACTAAGGAATATTGTAAGTAACAGCCACAGGGAGCTCATTACACTGTCCACAGCGGCAATATTGTTCATTACATTATACAATAGCCTTTCTAGGAGTTTTCTTATGGAAGTCTCATTTTTGGTGTTATTTTATAATTTTACTTTTGTTTTCCTTTCTTTCATTTTTTGCTTTACATATTTCTAAATAAAATATAACCTCTGTAGCTATCTATCCATCTATCAATCATCTATCACTTTGAATTTCACTGGAATCCATCATAAAAAAGAAAGGCCTGGCCAGCATAGCTCAATGGTTGAGAGTCAACCTATGAACCAGAGATCACTGTTCTATTCCTGATGAGGGCACATGCCTGGGTTGCAGGCTTGATCCCCAGTGTGGGGCATGCAGGAGGCAGCCGATCAATGATTCTCTCTAATCATTGATGTTTTTATCTCTCTCCCTCTCCCTTCCTCTTTGAAATCATAAAAATATATATTTAAAAAAGAAAGGAAGAAAGGGATTCATGTTCACTACTAGTTAAAATAATAAAATGAGTCTGAAAGAATAAAGGAGAATGGAAGGGTTTTAAGCCAGTGGGAAATTAGAAATTGTCTAGCTTTAAAGTCAGGTTATCCTTCCTATCTGTCCATGCAACCTCTATCTCTGGCTGTGCATCTATGCATCAGGAACACAGCACAGTATAGGGCAAATTTTGAAGAATTCAGGGAGATCACCATTCCCTGTCGGACTTGGGAGTAGCAGGAACCGCAGGCTGAAAAGTTGGGGTGACTACTTTCCTCTGCATTTCCCTTGCACCTACAATATCCAGAGAAAGATTTAAAATGTGGAACTCTCAGCAGGTGTGTGATAGACATTTATCAAATTTGAAATTAAAGAGTTGCTTAGGAGGAGGTATGGGATAAGAGGAAATAATAATAACCCTCACAAAACTGTCTAGAAGAAATGGCTCCTCTTTCTCACCGTTTGGAACTCATCAAACTTCTTCTGCAGCTCCCACACGTCATCTAGTTCTATGCCAGTGTTTTCTGCCTTTTTCTCTCGGATCCAGTCCAGCATGTCGCCTGCCTCATAGGCCAGCAGAAACTCGTTGTAACGTTGCAACAGACCACGTCTGCGTTGTTCTGCCCGGTCGAGGAGAGAGTGATACCTAGGGGTATAAAGGAAGAGAATGGAAAAGGTGAAATATAAGATGGAGAAAGCACAGAAGAGAGGAGGCAGGGGGGGAGAGGGAGAGGATGAGAGGGACAAAAAAGAGAGAGAAAATCAAAAGAAAAACAGCAAAGCAGCGAAGGAAATACAGATAGAAGGAAAATAGCATTGAGAGCAGAGAAACAAACACACAGTGTTCCATTTAAAAATAATAAAAATGTCAATGTCCCAATGGTGACTGGCAACATCTAATCGAAGGGAAATTTTGAAAGTCCTGCTGACAACTGGACATGAAGCAGCCTGGCCGAGTGAACAAAATTCACACGGAAGCCAACAAGCCTTTTCATAACCTTGAAAGAAGGCTGGGCAGGGGGTCAGAAGATGAGACTCTATTAGGCGTCTAACCTCAGGCAATTGGCTTAATGGTACTGGGGTTCTCTGGTTTCATTGTAAAAAGGAAGTATTTGAGCCCTAGCTGGTTTGCCTCCCTGGATAGAGTGTCGGCCTGCAGACTGAAGAGTCCGAATTTCAATTCCAGTCAAAGACACATGCCTGGGGTTGGGGGCTTGATTCCCAGTAGGAGGTCATGCAGGAGGCAGCCCATCAATGATTCTCTCTCACCATTGATGTTCTATCTCTCTCTCCCTCTCCCTTCCTCTCTGAAATCAATAAAAATATATTTTAAAAATAAATAAATAAACAAATAAATAAATAAATCCTATATAATAAAGAGGTAATACGCAAATTGACCGTAATGGCTAAACAACCTGGAATGACCAATCGCTATGATGCACACTGACCACCAGGGGGCAGATGCTCAATGCAGGAGAATGACTGGTCACTATGACACACACTGACTACCAGGGGGCTGATGCTCAATGCAGGAGCTGTCCCCTGGTGGTCAGTGCACTACTATAGGATGAGCTCTGCTCAGCCACAAGCCAGGCTGACAGCTGCTAGTGCAGTGGTGGTGGCGGGAGACTCTCCCACCTCCTCGGCAGCACTAAGGATGTCCAAGTGGGAGCGGGCCTAAGCCACAGTAGGACATCCCCCAAGGGCTCCCGGGCTGCCAGAGGGATGTCTGACTGCTAGCTTAGGCCCAATCCCCCGGGGAGTGGGCCTAAGCTGGCAGGTGGACATTCCCGAGGGGTCCTGGACTCTGAGGGGGCACAGGCAGGGCTGAGGAACCCCCTGGAGTGCACGAATTTTCATGCCCTGGGCCTCTAGTAAATAAATGAAGTGTTTGAAAGGCCCTAAGTTCAAATTTAGCTCTTATGCAGTCGTGAGAAGTGCCTTTGACCAGCAGGAAAAGTTTGGCCAAACACCTGTGCAGCCTCCAGAACTTACTGGTCCTCAATCTGCTGCTGCCGCTGGGTGATGCTGCCTGGTTCTTCTCGCCACCGCTGTGGGAGTGTAGGAAACTCATCGTGGGCCAGTTTCCTGACGTAGACAGCTGGCACGAAGCCCTGGTGATCCTCATGCTCCACCTTCCACCAGTCCTGGAGGGAGAGCAGATCCCCACTCCTGCTTTAGTTCTTGAAAAGGCCACAAACAGCAGGCGGTTCAACTAAGTCCCTAAGCACAGACACAGGCTGATAGTCAAGGGAAGCGAATCATCACTTCTGGGAGGAGCATTATAACTTTCACTTATAACCAAAGAATTTACATACTTATATGCATAGTCATGGACATGGGCAACAGGGCAGTGAAGACCTAGAGGGGAGGTAGGGGCTAGGAGATACCTGTAATACTATCAACAATAAAAATACTAGTATATTATAAAAAATAAAGGCTATTAATTTCATTGAGATGACAGTTAAGAAAAAAAGAATATAAATAATTAGTTTCAGTAATTGAAGAAATAAGCTTCTGAAATCAAGAAATGTGACATTTGATATTAGACCTTTAACTTTGATAAGGTTTTTAAAAACCAAAGATAGTTCTTTTTTTATTATTTTTATTTGGGAAAAGTGCTTCTTACAAAAGTCAGCTGTAAAATACCGAGAACTCTGTAACAGGACTTGGTTTTCCTTAAAGGGAAAGGATGGGTGAGATCCAAGCAATCAAGGCAGTAGATGGGACAACTCAGGAGCATCTCCAAGTTATTTTCGGGAAACAGCAACAAAACGCAAGCTAACTTTTCCAATGAAGGAATCCTTCTAACAGTTTAGCTTGTCTCGTGGATTACCAACCCCTCCCCCATTTAGTGGGAAAGCAAAACTTATCACTGCAAACCAATGACTCCATGACAAGAAACACCTTAGAACACAGTTCTGAATCACATCTTGTCTACCTGCAAAGCACAGGGATAGAATGAGGCAAATACTTGCTAAAACAAGTACAAAGACTCCACAACAAAACCCCTCAAACGAGGACGAAGGTTTGCCCAAAGGCGCCTGAACTGGAGAGGATAAGAAATCATTAAGCATTAAATACAACTGCGTATCCAAGATCCAGTTTGTATTAAGATATGGGATAACCAGCTAGTTTTACCCTCTATGGCTAAGCCCATTTACTTAGACGGACAAAGCTAGCTATGCTTTAGTACAGCTACCACCACACTGCTGTGTCCTGGCAGGTCTGTCTGCCACACTGGACTAAGAACACTGCATCCTTGCAGGGATGAGACGCTTACCACACGCTCCCCCTCCTACAAGCCAAGTCTATCAGCTCTTGGGAGTCAACCTCAATTCTGCACCTTCTTTATGCCAGTAAACCTTTTATACGTGTTCTTTCAGAATTTTCCTGTCATACTAAGCACAGCAAAATTCTTAACACATTTGCGCCTGGTTATGGTCACCCAGTAGTTATTACTTGCGAGTGATGAAATAAGAGACCAGAACCACAGAACAAGAGCACGGGGTGGGGAGTACCGTAGGGAACAGAGATGAAAACACAGGTGTGCAGATTTCACCAGGAGCCTGACGTATCAGCCTCTACGGCTGTAGCACAGGCTACTTGCCACAGTTCAGATC